AGAATTATATAGTTTAATATGCGACATTTTGACACAACGTGCAATATTTGGTTCAAACTAACTACTGCGTAGTTGTTTTAAAAAATAGGTTAGTTTTGTTTATGCATATTGATAAATCCATACAAACATTAGTAATGAAGAATAAAATATAAATTTGGTTCTAATATTAAACTCAAAATTATGCAAACCATGATCAAAAAAACAAAATACTTATATGGTAAAGCAAAATCAGATCAATGTCTGTGGCCAATATAAAATGATATTCTCATGCTTTTCAATAATATTTTTATTGTTTGTATGTAAGTTCTCGATCGGTGTTCCCAACTAAACAATTTATAACTTTAATACTTAATTATAATAATAAATAATTATTATACTAGCATAATTGAGTTCCAATATTCAAGTAAAAATATTAATTAATGTTTTGGATTTTATTTTATAAAAAGATATTTATTTTTTTTTTATAAATTAATTTACTTATTTTAAACCCATTTTGATTAGGTATTCATATTATTAACTGAACTATTTCTTCGGTGAATATAATGAATACTAATAATAATAATAATAATAGTTTTATTTAGCAAAAATAATATACATTTAATCTAATATATTAGAAGAAATATATAAAATACATGTTTGCAACTCCCCTCTAAGCATAAGCTTGTTTTTGGGAATATACAAGTTTGAGTACAATACAAGATAGTTAAAAAAATATAAACAAATTATTATAAGATATACATAAGTAAAACTAATAGAAAAAAAAGATAAGCATTTTTAGAAAACAGTATAGTCACAAAACTTTTATAAATTAACACGTTTTGTCATAAATTTAAATAAGTGAGATCTTAAGTTTTCAGAAAATATTTAAATATACAAATATTTCTGTATTTATAAATATTAATACAAAGCTGTCTACATATCAGAGAAGCTGTGGATATAGAACTTTTTAGACCTAATTGCTTTTTAGAAGTAGGTACATAAATATTAATATTGTCTTTATATCGAGTATTATATGAGTGATTAACTCTAGCTAGATTATGCTTAAACCTGTATAAGCTAAATAGGATATTTCTATAACATACATTTTGAAAGTATGAAACATTAATATAAATAAGTTATTAGTAGAGCTGAGGACTTCTAGCTATTTCATATTTATCGAGAAAGTCCTCAGTGTGAGTGATGTTTAGATATTATATTATGTAAAAAAAATAATTTAGGTACACTCGAAATTTTATTTTGCATATTTTTGCATAATTTGTCGTCATTGCATAGTGTTACGTGCTGCCCTTGAAGAATCCAAAAGCTGATATACTTTTATAATAAACAATAGTCAATTTATATAAACAGTCAATATCAATCATTTGTAGTTTTATTAAAACCAAATAATAAGTAATATAGTCGTGGTAATTTGTAGTAGCGTGAATTGGCTCGTTGTAGTAGCTGATAATCTCCGTGTAAGTTGTGTGTAATGGCCGGTGCATAAGCGGCTCGCTCGGTCTTGGAGGCTCTGGTACATCTAATGTGTATTGGGGCCTTGTTATCTATATACACGGAGGCGGCGTCCTTTGAATTGTGCTGCGCGTGGCATGCAAGGCGCGCTTGGTAAGTTGTAGTGGTTTGGAGAATATATTCTAGCTATGACCACTTTTGGGTGCGGTCGACGAGGCCGCCTTTCACACAAGTGGTTCTTGTTATTATGAGCGTTTACATGAATTGCGTAATCCCATTACAATAGAAATGCATATTTGAGTATGTATTACAAAAAATAAGAACAAAATTGGGCATTTTCCGATTTAAGAAAATTATAGTTTAGACAAAGAAGAACATAATTTGAACAATTTTAAGTTTAAAATGTTGATCATTGACAAATTAAGAGCATATATGTATAGGTTTATTTAGAAACATTTTTTTTAAGGTGAATGAGAAGAAAATGAAGTAGTTAATTTTTCAAGTTTTTATATTAAGTAAATAATCAAACTATCTTTTTCATATTAATTGTATAATTTAAGTACTGAAATTCATATTGTATATTTTTTTAGATTATATTTTTTGTATTTTTTGGGCTTAAGTGAATCCATATATTGAGATTTATAAGTATACTAGAATTCTTCAGCAATAAGTTACCTATTACTTATTAGTAATTTGTTGGATTGGATTTATAAAATTGAATATGAATTAGGTACCTATCTATATAATTGCAATTAAAGGATTATTTAAATAGTTGTGAACAGTGACTATAACAATGCCATTGGTTGGTCATATCGTAGAACTGGGATTTAAATGACCTAAAAAATACACAAAAATGCTGTTAAGCACTTAAAGTAAAAAAAAGTCACCAAAATCGTAGCTCTAGAACTTATATGTATATTTTTATTTTTAACGTAAACTGTCAATCTCCTATATTGTAGGTATGTAATGGTAATATATCATAATATCTATAAAAATAATAAAATATGTATTCATATTTGTATATTACAACTATATGGGGAGTAGAGAAAGAAAAATAATTGTAACCGGGAAAGGTAACAAATATTGTTTATGAAAAGTATTGTTTTACAATTCCAAATATATTATTTAGTACACAAGTTTTTCATAAATAATGCATATTCAAAATTGACCTGTTACCTTCAATTAAAAATTGATTATGAGTTTTGAGAGCATACTGTTAGCAGCCTTGACTAGTTCGCAGGTATTCTCAGTCATATCTCCGAAAAATTTTTCTATCAATTCTGTTTTTTTGGTTTTTCTAAGAACAGTATGTTTAAATTTGTCCTTTATGGTTAACAGCGTATCCGGAATCTCATCTAATATTTTTGTTATTAACATACCAAATTCTTCAAATTGCTTATTTATATTGATTTTTAATTTGTATATTTTACAATACAGCTTATCTGAATCGCTTACTGTCCTAGAATCTTCAAACTGTGGTATTTTATCTTTAGACTTATTTTTTTTATGGTAATTTTCGGTTTTCTGTGCTCTTATATAACATAGATCATATACTATCGTAGAAAATCGTTCAACATTAGACACAAGTATCGATAAATTTGCGGGAAAATTTTCAATATTAAGAAACATATTATAATGATGGTGAAAGTCATCACAATCATCAAACCGCAATACATTAGATTTTGACTGACTTTCTTTAACTGAGTAATTAGCAAAAACCCACACTTTGTTAAATATAGAACAAAGAATGAATTTGAAATATATATCATACAATTTGAACACATGCGACGGGTCCAAATTAATTGCACGTATGTTGTTGTAAATTTCATGAATGTACTTCCTTTCACCTTTGTAAAAAAAACTGAACTTGTCTTTGTTGTTAGTGAACAAAGCCGTTTCTTCAAGATATGTTTTATAAAAATTTTCGATATTTAAAAAAGTTGAGTAGTTTTCAACTATCGGTATGTTTCGGTAAGTTTCAAGGCTCTGCACAAATGAATTAACACGTTTATTAAGTACGGCATCATTTCCTATAGCCTCGAGATGTGTACTGTTGAATAACAAGAAATTGAATTTTGGTGGACTACAGTGATCAATACCATAGGTATTTAAAATAGACATTATCAATGACATGAACATCGGCACTTGATTGTATTTAAAATGTTCCTTGTGCTTTGGATTCAAGACAACGTAAATATGGTATGACACTTTTAAAAGGTCCCTGCAGCCCTTGTACGTACACCGTTCAATCACCTCAATGGACCATTTTCTAATCGATGTCAAAATAGTATTTACTTCCTCTAAGTATTCGCCTACCATATAATTTTCTGTGTCTAAAACCATTTTTAAAAATGTGGTTGCTTCGAGACAGAGACTGTACAAATCTCTAATATATTGACAACTGCTACTTTCCGTTAGCTTATCATCCACATCGGATCGAACGATTTCATCGATTTTAACATCTTCGTACACAATGTGTTCGACTTTTGATAGATCTCTTAAAAATGGTATGTAATATTTAGTGAATTCATTGCGTAGAAATTTACACACCGATATATAACAGTAAAACATTTCACTGTTTGAATTCATATATGTTGTAAATTCATCTAAATTAGATACGTCTTGATTTTCAGTTGTATTATATGTTTCTAAAATTATATTGGTAATCGAGTCATGAAGATCAGTAATCATTTTAATCAATTTCTCTTTAATATCATCGGGATTAATCTGTTCATTATTTTTATCGGTATCATATATTCCGCTCGTAAAATAATCAGTGACATCTGTCGGCAATTCTATGAATTTTGGTATTAACTTAACAATGTCTTCTGGCTTGAGAAGAGTTCCTTGTTGCAAGGCCTTTATTATCTTATGGTATGTTAATTTCACAATTGCATTAAAAATTGATTCCTGATACCAAAATATTAGTTCAAGGTCACACTCACGTTTTTCAATTTTGTTTAGTATTTGGTAAATCTTCATTGTTTTAGAATTTGT